ATCTGAGCAGCCCCTCCCTCTACCAGGAAGGACCTGGGTCCTGATGGGAAAGGACCCACCTTCCCCCTTTTCCAAGACCCCTCTCTCCCCTGAACTCTCTCCTCCAGGGGACTCTGTCCTCTCCAGACCCAGCAGCCCCCCCTGCAGGCAGCTGACAGGTGTCCCCACCTGGATTCTCCTCCTGCTCCCTCTGTGTAGCCATTTCCCAGCCTCTCTGCCCGCCGACCTCCCACCCTCAGGAGTCCCTGCTGACCTTTGAGGGTCATGATGGCGAGTGGGGCCCCAGCGTCCCACAGCTGGCGCAGCCCATCCTCATATCCACTGACAATGCTGTAGATTCGAGCAGCGAAGATGCGCAGCCTCAGGTGTCTGTTCTCACCCAGGAATTCCACCAGTTCCTGGGCACAGACAGGGCAGGGGCTCCAGGAGATGTAGCAGGTGAGTCTGTACTGCTTCCCCTCATCCAGGTGCCAAGAACGGACCCCATCCAGGAAGCACAACTCTGCATGACGAGGTTCCCAGTGTGTGTCAGCTCCCTGAGCACAGAGGGGGGAGAAGAGGGACCTGTCATTTGCTGTGAATAGGGAAGGGTTGGACCAGCCAAAGGCAGGTGAGGCTCTGGCCTCCAGCACAGGGTGAAGGGGCACAGCTCAGCGTCAGGATGAACGCTATCTCAATGCAGGATCTACACCAGTGATGGCGAACGTAAGACACAGGTGTCAGAGGTGACACGCCAACTCATTTTTTGGTTGATATTTCTTTGTTAAATGGCATTTAAATATCTAAAATAAATATCAAAAATATAAATCTTTGTTTTACTGTGGTTGCAAATATCAAAAGATTTCTATATGTGACACGGCACCAGAGTTAAGTTAGGGTTTTTCAAAATACTGACACGCCGAGCTCAAAAGGTTCGCCATCACTGATCTACAGGGTCAAAGGTAAGGCGACTCACAAATCACATAATATCAGCATCTACAAAGGGCACATCAGCAGTCAGGACTTTTCTACATCAACAAACCGTGGCTCCCATGGCTCTGTAACTGATCAGTCTTCACTTACCCTGTCTATATTCCATTCACCATAGAATTTGCATTAGTTTTGATTTTTTAAAGTTTTGCATTAAATATGGTTCTTTTTTCAAATCCTCACCTAGGGAGATTTTTTCCATTGATCTTAAGAGAAAGGGTGGAGGGATGGAGGAGGCAGAGAGAGAGAAACATCAATGTGGGAGGACACATCCACTGCTTGCCTACCCCACGCTCCACGATCCAGGCCAGGGATCAGAGCTGCAACTGAGATAAGTGCCCTTGACCTGGAATCCTACCCCTGGCCCCTGGCTGTGCAGGCTGACGCTCTAACCACTGAGAACACAGATCTGGGCTCCATGTGATTCACCTTGGTACAGAGTTCCCAGAGAGCCTCTATTTGGTGCCCAAACCCTATGCCTTCAAGAGCTGCACCTATTAGGACTCTGCAGGGAGACAAAGAGCCGAGAGCAGCCAGCCGGTGTGGCTCATTGGGTTGAGCAGGGACCCATCCAAAACAAAGTCACCGGTTCCATTCCTGGTCAGGGCCCAGGCCCAGGTTGCAGGCTTGATTCTCAGTAGGGGGCGTGCAGGAGGCAGCATCCAACCAATGATTCTCTCTCATCATTGATGATTCTATCTCTCCCTTCCTCTCTGGAATTAATAAAAGTCATTTAAATAAGTAAATAAATATAAATAAATAAATTGCTGAGGTCAGAGGGAGGAGGCAGCTGAGCCCCAAGGTCCTGGGCCTGATGCCAAAGGGCTGGGAGCTTCCTCTAGGCAGGGGAGCTCTCCCTCTGCCCCCCTACCTCCAGCACCCACCTGTGCACCCAACACTCCACACGGTTCTACTCTGGGCTTCCCCCTGTGCTGAGTCCAAGGGTGACACAACACTGCGGGAAGAAAGTGGTGAGGGCACCGAGGCAGAGGTGCGGGAGACAGGGGGATGAGGGTCGCTGCTGGGCTCCCAGGGTTATGGAGATTAGCCCACCCACCCAGGGAAGGATTTTCAACCAGGGACTCAGGGAGGAGGAAGAAGTCAGGCCCGCGGAGCTAGCGCAAGGCCCTGGTGGCAATGGATGGTACCTGGGGCCCAGCAGGCGTCCTGGGCTACGTGCAGCCGGCAATGCACTTGTGGGGACAGCATCCTGCCAGGCTCTCCCAGGAGTGACTGGAGGGAGCACCAAGGGGGAGCTCTGGCTCTCTGGCCAGAGGCGGCCCGGGCGGGTCCAGGGGAGAACGGCCCCTTTTGTCCAGGTGCCTTTCCCTCTGCCCTGACCCCTCCTCAGAGGCACAGCAGGAGGGACAGGCTGACCCTGGAGGCTGGGCTGACACTGGGCTGGTGGGCCCAGGCCCTGGGACACTGTGACTGCTTTCTGATGTGGGGCTCCAAGCTGCCAATCACAGCAGAGTCCGTCCTCCCTGCCTCTGGGCAACGCCACAGCAGCTGGGGGCCCAGGGACATTGCTCAGAGGACACCCCGCGGGCATGGACCTTCTCCCTGAGTGTCCCGGGGGCCCTGCCTGCTGTGCTCGCTCACCTGGTTGCGCAGGAAGTCCTGGAGCTTTTTTACTGGGACCCATGCGTCACCCTCCCGGACCTCCACCTCGTAGCACAGGTATGTTTTTCTCTCTCTGTAGTAACTGAAGTTGACTCTGAAGGTGGTTGCATCCATCAGGGTTCTGTGGGTACAGGCAGGAGGAAGCAAGGCATGGGGCTCCTCTGGGGATCACCCCGTTATCCTCTCCTCTGCACCAACATCCCAATGAGACCCACAGAGTACGGGCGTCCACTCACTTAGCTGGAGACACCTAACCTCCCTCTCTGACCCTCAGGGGCTCCTGGGGGAGTCAGCCCAGTCCTTTAGTGAGGGTCCCCCCGGGAGCAGTGCAGGGGCTCAGAGCTCTGACGGGGCCTCTCCTGGCATCACCGTCCTGCCCTCGTCCCGCTGACCCAGCCCTGCCAGGTGCAGCCCAGTGGCGCTGTTTCCTCTGCTCTTCTGGGTTAACCTGAGCCACATGGTGCATCAGGGGAAAGGGTGGCCCCATCGGGGAAAAGAGATGCCAAACTAGTCTTCTCAAATAACTCAACACATTTCCTTTCTCATCATGAAAACAATTGTGTCCTTTACAAAAACCAAAACATAGATCTGAATGTGAACTTCTAGGGCCTCAGTGCAGAGCAGAAAGAATAGATTTCATGGGAGACAGAGGGAGAGGAGAAACAGGGACCCTCAGGGTGACCCCCAGATTTTAGCCGGGGGCCATGGGAGGCGGTTAGGACAGGCCAACATGGTATTAGTTGAGGGATCCTGGACATAGAAGGGCCATCAGGAGGGACAGGAGAAGCAGGGGGTCCCCTAGGGAGAAGGCAGGTCCCTTTAGGGAGCCAGGAGGATGGGCTCAGAGGTAGGGCTGCTCCAGGGGCAGGTGGTACCTGCCAGTTGGTGCTGGGTTGTCCTCCATGTCTCAGCTCCTTCACCTTCTCTGCTGGTCACGGCCCGTCCTCCTCCTGTGATGCTTTCAAGGACGGAGGTGCCTTATATGCCATCAGAGCATCGGGAACCTGCTGAGCTGGCATTGCTGAGCCCCACCCCTTCCCTAAACTCAGGCCACTCATGCCACCCACATGGAGTCATAGGAGAGGGAACTTTTCTGCCCAAATGTCTCATCCTGTGTCCTCAGGGGCAAGTTGGGTTTTGATTTCTCTGTTCTGACAAAGGGCCTCCCTGGACTGACCTTGGGCCAGTGAGGTCCCAGGAGGTGGGGTCACCCTGGGCAGCTCCGCACAGTCAGGCAGGATGCGAGAGCGCAGGTGGGAGGACAGGTGCTCCCACCTGAGGAGGGTCCGGGCACAGGACACAGAGCCCCCACAGGACAGGCCCCGGGTGCCCATCCCTGACTCTCCTGAGGCCGCCAAGCAGGGCATGGCCGGGCCCAGTGCAGGGACCTGCGGGGCTGAGCCAGGAAGGAGACTCCGCCCTGAGAGGAAGGGCAGGGCGGGACCAACGTGAGCTGAGCTCCCCTTAGGAGCCACCCTGTAGGGGAAGGAACTGGACTCAGAGCCTTTGTCTGCCCATCACACAGAGGAGAACAGAGAGGCTCCCAGCAGGGCTGGGCCAGGATGGCCTGGGAGCAGAGGATGAAGGGTGTGCCCGCCTCAGGAAGGGGCCAATGCTCATCCTCTTTACCCCCACCTGCGAGGAACGAGGGGACTTTGTGTTCCAGGCTCAAGTGTGACCTGAGCCCCAGCTGGTAGAGTTTGTCCCCGAGGGGATGCCCCTCTGTCCCACTGACTGTCCATCCGGCTCCTCTCAGACCACCCTGTGCCGGCCCCACTTTCCCTCCAGGGGACATGCCCAGCGCAGCCCCGGGTCTGTCCCCAGCGCACTCTGCACTGCATGTGGGCTCTGTGGCTGTGGCTGATTCCCTTGCTTCCAGATGGTGGTCCCACCGCAGGTGCCACAGATACGACCAAGATCGGGCTTGGCACACAGCTGTGTCTGGGCAACGGGCCCGAAGGCTGCCCTGACTCACCAAACGCAGACACACACACACACATACGCAAGCAGATGACAAGCAGGAATCTCCTAGTTTCTCCAGACACACCCACAGGCCTCCGTCTGAGTGGCAGGAAGCAGAGGACGTCCCCACTCCAAGGCTGGTTTGCAAGAACCTCATCATCGAATCAGCTCCTCATCATCAAATCAGAAGACACGTTGTTGTATGTTTCTTTGTAATATTTTTTTTATTGATTTCAGGGAAGAAGGGAGAGGGAGAGAAACTTAGAAAAATCAATGATGAGAGAGAATCATTGATCGGCTGCCTCCTGCACCCCTCTCATTGGGGATCGGGCCCACAACCTGGGCATGTGCCCTGACAGGGAATTGAACCGCGAACTCCTGCTTCATAGGTCGATGCTCAACTGCTGAGCGACACTGGCAAGAGGCTGCTCTGTATGAGGCCCAGGTCTGCCTTCCCACAGGTGGCCTTCCGGCAGGAGGACAAGCTGACGTGGGGAGCCCAGGGTTCAGCCGTGTCCTCAGCTGTGAGCTACCCTCTCCGAAGTCTCAGGTCCCCGTGTCAGGGGCAAAGCTCTGAGCTTTGGGGAGACGGGGAGCTGGGGGTCAGGTCTGCCTGGACCTGCATGTGACTGCGCAGAGAGTGGGGACCCCTCTTGTCATGTAAGACCACGTGTCTTCTACCTGCTCGTCCGCTTTCCCAGAGTGACTGCGTCTTGGTCAGTGGCTTCCAGGAACAGAAGTGGGGGCTCTTGCCAGAGTCCAGGAATCGAAACCCAAGGAGCTGATTGGATGATAAGGTTCTTGCAAATCCGCCTGTGAGTGGGGACGTCCTCTGCTTCCTGCCACTAAGACTGAGGCCTGTGGGTGTGTCTGGAGAACCTAGGAGATTCCTGCTTATCATCAGCTGCGTGTGTGTATGTGTGTGTGTGTGTGTGTGTGTGTTTTGGTCCTGCCCCATCTCGTTTTGCCGCTCACCTCAGTGTCCTGAGCAGGTCCTCTTTCCCAAGCCCCTCAGAGGGGATGGGGTTGGCCAGGGATTCGGACGTCCAGACAGAGGGGCAAGGAGGACCAATGGGGTCTCTCGCCCCAGCTGAATCTGTGAACTCGTGGGGTCCTCCTCTGTCACCCTCTTGGTGGACAGCAACACCTGTCTCCAACAGGACGTGTGGGCTCGCAGGCCTGGGGTGGGTCCTATGTGCTTCCCTTTGCCTGGGATGAGGGCCGATGCCTGAAGGTTGGCAGCCACTGGGAGTCCGAGGACACCAGTGGGAGCAGACAGGCACTGAGTCCCCAAGCATCTCGGACTTTATAGAATGGAATGTGCTGCCCTGGCCGGTTTGGCCCAGTGGACAGAGTGTCAGCCTGCAGACCAAAGGGTCCCGGATACAGTTCTGGGAAAGGGCATGTACCTTGGTTCCAAGCTCCTCCTCAGCCCAGGCCCTGGTCAGGGTTCATACAGGAGGCAGCCAATCGATATGTTTCTCTCACATCAGTGCTTCTCTCTGTCTTTCCCTCTGTATTCCACTCTCTCTAAAAATCAATGGAGAAATATCCTCGGGTGAGGATAAAAAAAAAAAGGAATCCTATATAATAAAAGAGAAACATGTAAATTGACCATCCCTCCACGATGCTCACAAGCCTATCAGGAGTGTGTATGCAAATCAACCCGACAAAGATGGTGGACTGATTTGGGTGGGCAGGCACCAGGTGGAGAGCAGAACAGGAGAGCCAGCGGCTTGGGGGGATGTGGCTCCATCGGTCACTCCCCGAAGCTGCCGGGCGGAGAACAGAACGGGATAGCCAGCGGAGAGTGGAATGGCTTGGGAAACTTGGCTCTCCAAGCCACCAGACAGAGAGCAGAGAGGGAGAGCTGGTGGCTTGGAGGACTTGGTAGAGTGGGACGTCATGGGACGAAAACAGAGCAGGAAGGGAAAACCAAGAGCGCGGGGAGCACCATGAATTCTGGGAATAGTAGTTCTGGTGGCAGCCCCAGGACCGGAAGCGGAAGCCCAGATCGTGGGGAGCACCAGGAATGCTGAGAATCATAGTTCTGGAGGTAGACAGATCTCCTAGACACTAGAGCAAAGTCAGCCTGGAGCAAGTTACTGTTGTGGTGGGGGATGGAGGGAAAGCAAAGGTGAGAGACATAAGTAAAATCAGAGTGTCTAGGAAAAATTAAAGGGAAGATATCGTAAAACTTACAGGAAATCTCCACAAATGAAGCAAAGAAAAAAAAGCCCTATTATTCTGTGAGCAACAAACCAAACTGGGTTGGGGGTCTCAGACAATTTGCTTATATGATTGCAAAGACAGACAGAAACTCCCGGATTGGAGAGGGCACCCTGAGGGCTCCCAGATTGGAGAGGGTAAGGTCAGGCTGACGGACCCATCCCCTGTGCATAATTTTCCTGCATCAGGCCCCTAGTTGTGGATAAAAGGAAAACAGGCGTGTGTGCGGACTGGGCACGGTGAACGCCCAGGTCGTTGTGGCTGCTGCGACGAGCGGAAATCCTCCCCCGAGAGCTGGATGGAAGCCGGGCTCCTACTTCCCCAAAGCCCTTCCATCTCCCCAAAGTCTTTTCAAGTCACTGAGTGTGCACACACCCTGAGCACCTACTGTATACACGGCAGAGGGAGCTGAGAGGGACAGAAAAGGAACTGGGGGCTCACACCCCTCAGGCCTGTCTCAATCCCAGGAGGAGGCGCCCTTGGAGAACAGAGCCACACCCTCCCTGGCCCAGAGCCAATGAGAGGGGACAGGGGACAGCCACAGGTCTCCGGGTTGTCAGACCTGAGGAACAGAGCCAGCCTCCAGCCACTGTCCTCACAGGACTCAGGGGAGACCGGGTCGAGGGGTTCTTGGGAGCAGAAAACAACAAACAAAACCCGGGTTCTGTGGTCAGATCACAGGCTCCCCTCTCCCTGCCTGAGGCTCTGGAGCAGGTGGACGCTGGTAAAGTGGAGAGTAACAATAATAGACTCAATTGTCGAGGGTTGATTCTGTTCGGAGGGTCCCCTCCCCACTGGCCGGCTCCTGGCAGTCAGGATGCAAACCCAGCAGAGGAGGAGCCTGGGCCCCGCTGGCAGCCAGGGGCTGAGGCCCAGGACTCCCAGGGAGAAGGGGCCCCACGCCCTTTCCTCGGGGCTGTGGGGAGGCCGCACACCTTCCCACATCTCCAGGCTGCGATCCTGTGGTGGTGATACCAGCCAGCTCCTCCTCAATATCCCCAGGACCTTAAAAGCCACAAATCTGTCAAGAGCAGGCCTTTGTCACTTTTTCAGGTGTTTATTGAACTATTTGGACTTCATGAAACACTTACAGAGGAAAACACATTGTGTGGAAGATTCTTAATCTTTCATGTTATTGCTCTGGACTTATAATCAATGTAAATAATTAATTTTCTAAATATAAAAATGATACTGATAGTAATGAATACAATATTACTGGTGTGTATTTAGAACATACATAGATTTTAACGAAAAGTAAATCAGTCAGATTTTTAAAAAATTCCTTCTGAGTTCATTCACTGCCTTTTGCTGGTTTCTTTGGAACAAGTAGGGGATGGCGGCACGTGATGCGTTTTCATTTCTTGAAGAAAGTGTTTTATGCATCGTTCACCAGAAGACCCCCGACTGTTTAGAGAGGTTGAGTCCATCCTTCAGTTTCCCTGATTCTGGATGGAGAAGGAGGAGGTGGAGGAAGCAGGGAGTGAGGCAGGTGGGAAGGTGAACAGAGCAGAGTCTGGGGCAGTCACAGGAGGGGAAGGAAAAGGGGTGCAGGAGGGGAGAAAGCAGAGGGACTCCTGAGACCTGAGGGGGGGGATGGAGTTGGGGCCCTGGGGGGAGCATGAGACCCAGAGGCAGATACAGGCCCAGGGAGAGAAGGGGAGAGGGGAGCAGGAGGGTGGAACCTCACCCTGAGAATGTTCTCCAGCTCCTGAGATTTGGTTTCAATGTGTTCTACCAGGTCAGTCCAGGGCTCGAACGGCTGGCCCTGTTTGTCCACGAAGGTGTCCCAGCAGTGCTGGTGCTCTATGGGAACAGGGAGGGAAAGGTGAGCTCCTTCTAGAGCAGGGAGGGCCCAGGTCTCTGACTCTAGGGAAACACCTTCCCATCAGAATCTCCCTGCCCCCTTTCTCTCTCCTCCCAAGGCACTGAGTTCATCCCTCAAATTCTTTCTTCCACTGGAATCTGAGGCAGCCCTTCCCCTTCTACCAGGAAAAACGGGGTCCTGATGGCACAAGGACCCACCTCCCCCCTCCCCCAGGCCCCCTCTCTCCCCTGAACTCTCTCCTCCAGGGGACTCCATCCTCTCCAGACCCAGCAGCCCCCCTGCAGGCAGCCATTTCCCAGCCTCTCTGCCCGCCCACCTCCCGCCCTCAGGAGTCCCTGCTGACCTTTGAGGGTCATGATGGCGAGTGGGGCCCCAGCGCCCTGCAGCTTGCGCAGCCCATCCTCATATCCACTGACAATGGTGTAGATGTGAGCAGCGAAGATGCGCAGCCTCACGTGGCTGTTCTCGCCCAGGAATTCCACCAGTTCCTGGGCACAGTCAGGGCAGGGGCTCCAGGAGATGTAGCAGGTGAGTCTGTACTGCTTCCTCTCATCCAGGTGCCAAGAACGGACCCGATCCAGGAAGCACAACTCTGCATGACGGCGTTCCCTGTGTGTATCAGCACCCTGAGCACAGAGGGGGGAGAAGAGGGACCTGTCACTTGCTGTGAACAGGGGAGGGTGGCACCAGCCAGAGGCAGGTGAGGCTCTGGCCTCCAGCACAGGACTGAAGGGGCACAGCTCAGCGTCAGGATGAAGGCTATTTCAATGCAGGATCTACATGGTCAAAGGTCAGGCGACTCACGTATCACATAATATCAGCATCTACAACGGGCACATCAGCAGTGAGGACTTTCCTACATCAGCAAACCATGGCTCCCATGGCTCTGTAGCTGATCAGTCTTCACTTACCCTGTCGATATTCCATTCACCATGGAATTTCATTAGTTTTGATTTTTTAAAGTTTTACATTAAATATGGTTCTTTTTTCAAATCCTCATTGAGGAGGTTTTTTCCATTGATGTTTATATAAAGGGTGGAGGGATGGAGGAGGGGGCAGAGAGAGTGAAACATAAACATCCACTGGTTGCCAACCCCACACTCCATGACCCAGGGCGAGGGATCAAAGCTGCAACTGAGATATGTGCCCTTGACCTGGACCCGATCCCTGGCCCCTGGCTGTGCAGGCTGACGCTCTAACCACTGAGAACACAGATCTGGGCTCCATGTGATTCACCTTGGTACAGGGTCCCAGAGAGCCTGTATTTTGTGCCCAAAGCCTATGCCTTCAGGAGCTGCACCTACTCAGACCCTGCAGGGAGACAAAGAGCTGAGGACAGCCCAGACGGTGTGTCTCAGTGGGTTCAGCAGCGACCCATCCACGAACAGGTCACCAATTCCATTCCTGGTCAGGGCCCAGGCCCAGGTTACAGGCTTGATTCTCAGGAGGAGGCACGCAGGAGGCAGCAGCCAACCAATGATTCTCTCTCATCACTGATGTTTCGATCTCTCCCTCCCTTTCTCTCTGGAATCAATAAAATTCTTATAAATAAATAAATATAAATAAATAAATATCTGAGGACAGAGGGAGGGAGGCAGCTGAGCCCCAAGGTCCTGGGCCCGATGCCACAGGGGTGGGTGCTTCCTCCAGGCAGGGGAGCTCTCCCTCTGCTCCCCTACCTCCAGCTCCCGCCTGTGCACCAACACTTCCACACGCTTCTACTCTGGGCTTCCCCCTGTGCTGCACCCAAGGGTGACACAACTCTGCGGGAAGAAGGGGTGAGGGCACCGAGGCAGAGGTGCGGGAGACACGGGATGAGTGTTGCTGCTGGGCTCACAGGATTATGGAGATTAGCCCACCTGCCCAGGGAAGGGTTTTCAACCAGGGGCTCAGGGAGGAGGAAGAAGTCAGGCCCACGGAGCTGGCGCAGAGCCCTGGTGGCAGAGGATGGTACCTGGGGACCCAGGAGGCGTCCTGGGCTACGTGCAGCTGGCAGTGCACTTGTGGGGACAGCACCCTGCCAGGCTCTCCCAGGAGTGACTGGAGGGAGCACCAAGGGGGAGCTCTGGCTCTCTGGCCAGAGGCGGCCCGGGCGGGTCCAGGGGAGAACGGCCCCTTTGTCCAGGTGCCTTTCCCTCTGGCCTGACCCCTCCTCAAATGCACAGCAGGAGGGACAGGCTGACCTTGGAGGCTGGGCTGACACTGGGCTGGTGGGCCCAGGCCCTGGGACACTGTGACTGCTTTCTGATGTGGGGCTCCAAGCTGCCAATCACATTAGAGTCCATCCTCCCTGCCTCTGGGCAAAGCCACAGCAGCTGGGGGCCAAGGGACATTGCTCAGAGGACACCCCGCGGGCATGGAACCTTCTCCCCGAGTGTCCCGGGGGCCCTGCCTGCTGTGCTCGCTCACCTGGTTGCGCAGGAGCCCTGGAGCTCCTCCACTGGGGCCCAGGCATCACCCTCCCGGACCTCCACCTCGTAGCACAGGTATGTTTCGCTCGGCTATGTGATACCAAAGTTGCCCTTGAAGGTGGTTGCATCCATCAGGGGTCTGTGGGCACAGGCAGGAGGAACTCAAGGAATGGGGGTCCTCTGGGGATCACCTCGATCTCCTCCCCTCTGCACCCACATCCCTGTTAGACCCGAAGAGGATGGACGTCCACTCACTTAGCTGGGGCTACCTAACCTCCCTCTCTGACCCTTTCGGGGCCTCCTGGGGCAGTCAGCCCAGTCCTTTGTTCAGGGTCCCCCCATGAACAGTGCAGGGGCTCAGAGTTCTGACGGGGCCTCTCCTGGCATCACCGTCCTGCCCTCCTCCCACTGACCCAGCCCTGCCAGGTGCAGCCCAATGGCTCTGTTTCCTCTGCTCTTCTGGGTTAACCTGAGCCACATGGTGCATCAGGGGAAAGGGTGGCCCCATCGGGGAAAAGAGATGCCAAACTAGTCTTCTCAAATAACTCATGACATTTCCCTTCTCATCATGAACACAGTCATGTCCTTTACAAAAACAAAAACTTAAATCTGAACATAAACTTCTAGGGGCTCAGTTGAGAGCAGAAAGAATAGATTTCATGGGAGACGGAGGGAGAGGAGAAACAGGGACCCTCAAGGGTGACCCCAGATTTTAGCCGGGGGCGATGGGAGGCAGATAGGACAGGCCAACTGGGCATCAGCTGAGGGATCCTGGACATAGAAGGGCCATCAGGAGGGACAGGAGAAGCAGGGGGTTTTCTGGGGTGAAGGCAAGTCCCTTCAGGGAGCCAGGAGGAGGGGCTCAGAAGCAGGGCTGCTCCAGGGGCGGGTGGTACCTGCCAGTTGGTGCTGGGTTGTCTTCCATGTCTCAGCTCCTTCACCTTCTCTGCTGGTCACGGCCCGTCCTCCTACTGTGATGCTTTGAAGGACTGAGGTGCCTTATATGCCATTGAAGCACCTGGAACCTGCTGAGCTGACACTGCTTCACCCCACCCCTTCCCTAAACTCAGGCCACTCATGCCACCCACATGGCTTCTTAGAAGAGGGAACTTTTCTGCCCAAATGTCTCATCCTGTGCCCTCAGGGGCAAGTTAGGTTTTGATTTCTCTGTTCTGACAAAGGCCCTCCCTGGACTGACCTGGGCCAGTGAGGTCCCAGGGGATTGGGGTGACCCTGGGCAGCACGGCACAGCCAGGCAGGAGGCGAGAGTGCAGGTGAGAGGACAGGTGCTCCTACCTGAGGAGGGTCCGGGCACAGGACACGGAGCCCCCACAGGACAGGCCCCGGGTGCCCATCCCTGACTCTCCCACGGCCGCCACTGCAGGGCATGGCTGGGCCCAGTGCAGGGACCTGCTGGGCTGAGCCAGGAGGGAGACTCTGCCCTGAAGGAAGGGCAGGGCGGGACCAACGTGAGCTGAGCTCCCCTTAGGAGCCACCCTGTAGGGGAAGGAACTGGACTCAGAGCCTTTGTCCGTCCATTACACAGAGGAGAACAGAGAGGCTCCCAGCAGGGCTGGGCCAGGATGGCCTGGGAGCAGAGGATGCAGGGTGTGCCCGCCTCAGGAAGGGGCACTGCTCGTCCTCTCCACCCCGAGCCTTGAGGAACGGGGGACTTTGTGTTCCAGGCTCAAGTGTGACCTGAGCCCCAGCTGGTAGAGTTTGTCCCCGAGGGGATGCCTCTCTGTCCCACTGACTGTCCATCCGGTTCCTCTCAGACCACCCTGTGCCGGCCCCACGCTCCCTCCCAGGGGAAGTGCCCAGCTCAGGGAGGGCACCCCAGCCCCTCTGAGTGTGACCCTGGCCGCCCTCACTGAGAACCAGGCTGTGCTCTTTCATGCCAGCTCGTCACATCCTTCACGTGACCCCTGTAATACAGGGTCCCCCTCTTTCTGGGCTGGGCGCCCCTCCACATGCACAAACAGGTGTCCTCTGCGCCGAGCCTCTCCCACCTGCTCTGTCCTTGGACCTTGGTGGCCCTGGGACAGCCATGCTGTCCTGCTGGAGGCTCAGGGCTTTGCAGGCGTGGAACAGGCACATCCAGGTGTGTTGTGGCTTCTGCTAGTGTTGCTACTTCATTGGTCACAATATCCACCCAAACACACCGTCCACACCCAGGAGTTTCCAGAGACCAGGCCTGGGGTCCCTGAGAATCTCCCCGGTGCTGCCCCCAGATCTTGTGACCCAGGGAGGGAGAGTGGTGTCTGATCCAGGTCAGCTCCCCTCCTGCACCCCAATGTCTCCTCCTGTCATGCAGCCCACAAAATGCTTTTGAGTCCCGACCCCACCCCAGGCGCCAGAGGGCGGTCTCCTGGCACAAACTCTGTGCCCGGGCAGCAAGTGCGAAGTCCTAATGCACAAGGCCTGGTGCCCTGGTAGCCCTGGATAGGTGTCCCCCAATGTCTACCCCGCCCCTCCCAGGTGCCCCTACAGCTGGTGGGCAGCACCCTGTGTTCAGTGCTGCATCGCTTGCCCGCCCGAGCGCATAAGGCTCTTCTGGGGCATCTATGGGACCCAGGAGGGGCCATCATCGCAGGGACAGCGCTGTGCTCCCCTGTCCCTGAGGCAGGTCTCACAGCCAGGCTAGCGCCTCAGCCAGCAGCTCTGAGGTCTCTTCTGGAATGTTCCCCAGGACCTCCTCCCTCCACACACCCTCTCCCCCCAGCCAGGCATCCTGAGCTGCTCTCTGCTGATGCCTGGCTGCCCCTCTGTAATGTGGAGCAGCCTGGCCAGGCTGGTCTCCACACCCGGGAGTCCGCTCTGCAGTGAGTGGCGAGTACAGAGGCGGCCAGGAGAGCCCTGGGAAGACCAGGGGCCGCCGTGTGTAAGAGGTTTGCACCTCCTCCCAGAGGTTTCGTGTCTTGTGTTATTTGTCTGAGTCAAGTCTCCAAGGGGCAGGAGGAGAGGGTGCCTGGGCGGCCCTCACCTCTGTCTCTGGGTCCCTGCCCTCCCCGGGGCCCCCATCCACGCATCCTCTCCCTGGTTCCCCGGAACCTGGCCCCCTGGGTGCAGGAGAGGCGGGGGCACCTGCTCTTCCTCCGGGTCTCCTCAGCCAGGCCAGCACCTGGTGTGGTAAAGGCATCGGTAGAGCCTCGTGTTGAACTGGTTTAAAGCGGCCTGGCCCACAGCGACGTGGGGAGCGGGGAGCATGCCTCTCC